GATCGCTGGCTGGCTCCTCCCCGGCCCAAGCCTAAAGCCTCTGGCCAAGGCGTTAGGCCTGGACTGGGGACCCCCAGCTCCCGCCTCAGCTGATCGCTGGCTGGCTCCGCCCTGGTTCCCCACCTCCGCCGCCATCAACAATCGCTGGCTGGCTCCTCCCCGACCTAAGCCTAAAGCCTCTGGCCAAGGTTTTAGGCCTGGGCCAGGGCACCCCCAGCTCCCCTCCACCGCCGCCATCTATGATCGCTGGCTGGCTCCACCCCGGTTCCCCCTGCCATCACCGCCATCAACCATCGCTGGCTCAATGATCGCTGGCTGGCTCCTCCCTTACCCAGGCCTAAAGCCTCAGTCTGTGGCTTGGAGCCGACATATGCAAATTAGCCGCCATCTTGGTTGTCAGTTAATTTGCATATACTCACTGATTAGCCAATGAAAAGGGCAGCGGTTGTATGCTAATTACCATGTTTCTCTTTTATTAGTGTAGATATATATATATATATATATATTTCCTTTCATCAGATAATCAGCAACCCTTGAGGCAGCAGAAGACAGGAGTCCAGACCTGATTAATGGTCACACAGAGCCTGGGCCTCTGGGAGGCTAAAGATAACATCTTGACCTAAGTTATGTTTCAGCTCCTAGGCCCTAAGGTGGAATGGCCACATACCTACTTTCCCGTGAGACCAGACAGAGGGACACCAGAACAGACCTCAGGGCTGTTCTCAAGACCTGAAGAAATGATTCATTATCCTTACTGTACCTTCAACCAATCAGCTCCCAACGCAACCTGAGCCCCTAACCCACAGTGACTTGTGATTTTGCCATGTATCATCTGTAACCTACACACCAGTGTGGAGTTCAGGCTTTTGAGCACTAGTGTCACGTTCTCCTGGATGAAACCATTCATAATAAAGCAGCCAATGTTTCTCCACTGCAGCTCTCAGTGTCTTGTGTTTGTCTCTGCCAGTGCCAGGTGCACGAACTCTTGCAATTCGGTAACAATATTGCACCTAAGTGCTCAATAATTGTTGAATGAAGAAAATGTATTATATTTAACTATGTGTTTATATTTAGCGATTATCAGTTAAAAGTTGCATCTGATATAAATATAAAAAATATATATTATGTAAAGCAAGAGTTGTGTCAGTCATAATACATAAGACAACAATATGCCACCAACATTACCAGTCTCAGAAGAAACATGATCACACAGGTCAGGCCAAATAACTGCTGCTAAACGAAGAAATCTACCAGGAGGTCACGAGGTGGCCAGAAGCAGAGTGAACAGCTTAGGCAAAGAAGGCAACGAATACACTGAGTCCTCAGCACTGCATCCTCACCTGAGCTTCTTAGAAATCCAGGCTCTGGGTCCATGGGACTGACTCAGCCTTTTTCTTTTTTTTTTTTAATCTTTATTGTTGAAAGTATTACATATGTCCCCTTTCTTCCCCATCGACCCCCTCCAGCCCATCCCTGCCCCCTGCCCCAGGCCCTCACCACCCCACTGTCTGCGTCCATGGGTTATGCTTATATGCATACAAGGTCTTTGATTGATTACCTCCCAGCCACCCTCCCCCACCTTACCTCTGAGATTCCACACTCTGTTCCACGCTTCCATGTCTCTGTGTCCACTCCGTGCATCAGTTTATTTTGTTACTTAGATTCCATGTATGTGACTCAGCCTTTTTCACCTGTCCTCTTGAGTTTAAGTGAAAATAACCCTTCTCTTCTGAGCCCTGATCAGTGAGCTAATCGCACAGCTCAAGTGGGCGCTTTGGACCTTTCAGTGGGCAAGAGACAGTTTTCAGAGAATGGCAGTGGTCCGGAAGAGAGAGCTTTCAAATTCTAAACGAGAAATGCCACTAGCAGAATGGGTGAGTTTTGGCAAGTCGTGTTTTCTGGCTTTACCTGATGAGTATGAATTATGAAAATAGCCCAGTCGTCACAAGATTGAGGACAAAGTGAGATAATAACCAAAAAAAGCCAACAACAACAAAAAATTAAGAAGTGCAATAAACTATAAAATGTGTAAACCTTAAAATAAATGTATTACCTTTACTCCTGGTGATTAAGTAAACATTTTACAATAAAGCCAGCCTTCAGAGCAGATAGAAATTAAGTAATTTCACAACAGTCTGTGGCATAGAGGAAAAACCTTTTGTCTGGTTCAAAGAGCTTAACCTGAAGCTGACAACAGAACTCCCGCCTCCTTACCTAGCTCTTACCTATTTACCCATCTCTGATTAGAAGACAAGAAACTTGGGTAAAGGTGAACAGCCAGCCAACAAGTGCTCTGTGCTTTTCTGCATATCAAAGAAGTCCTTCCCTCGGTTGGTATTTGTGAGGGAGAGACCTGGCAGTCCAGGCAGGCTGCAACATGTGGGATCCCTGCAAAGCTCCACGGTCTACTGTGCTGTATCCATCTCTTTCTGTCTAGAATTTGCCATCTTGCTGGCAATGATCAAAAATTAATGCAGGACCCTAAACTGTGATCTCAAGGATAAGATCCATGTGGTGCTGTTTTGCATCCTCAGTTCACAGCAGAACACCTAGAATGCAGTAAGTGCTCAATAAGTGTAAGAAGCAGGACAAGGCTCGAGAACACGGGAGACGTGATTTCCATTTCATGACTGGTATTCTTTGACGTGTCTGTTCAGCTGCATTTATCTGCCTCCCATCACAATCACTGCCAAATGAAGCTTTGAAAACTTAGATAATTTCTTCCCAAAGTCTCTATTTTAGCAAACAATCATGTTTAGTGACATATCCTTTTCTATGTTGAAAATGTGCAAATATAATATGTACTTAGGTTTTGAAGATTCACTGACACAAGTGAATATTGTTAAATAAATGAACACGTGTGAATCTATTTAAGTCATTGTACTGAACCAAGCCAAGATTTTCAGGTTAAGGTAGCCATGAATATGGTGTTAACAACTGGAACAGGTGTGGTCTTGCCTAACTTCAATATCTAGAAACATGTTCCAACAGTCCCCAGGAATATCTTTGTATTCCATATTTATTCTCCTATTACCTAACCCTAATTTTCTTCTATTCTCACACCAGACAGCAATCCTTTCCACATAGCTGCATTTGTACAAATGAATAGCCATTTACTAATTTATAAAGAAATCCAGTAGGAAAAATGGGGTAAAGATAAATAAATGTACAGGAAAAAAGGAAATATGAAATGACTGTATAGATTGATGATTAAAATAAAATGCATAATAAGAGAAGGGAGGGAGTGACTGGGAAGGGTTTAGAAATTGATACTAAAACTATAAACAGAATTGATCTCTCTTCTTATTAAATCTGCAACTACAACTCATTCAAATTAGCTTAAATCTGAGAATGTAGGAGGTAACACAGTGTAGCACAAATGAGCTTTGGCATCAAGTGGAAATGATTCCATACCTTGGCTTCTGACGTATCAGCTGAGAGCTTGAACAGGCAACTTTTCTGAGCCTAAATTTCAATATCTGTTCAAAAAAAATAAGGAAACAGTTATGTCAATTACTAATATATGCGAAGTGCACAGCTAATAAGTAGGTGCTCAATAAGTAATGTCCATTCACTGAAATCATCCCTCTTCACAAAGTCTCTAAGTCACCAGTACACATAATCATTGCATTGGACTATCATTATTCAAAATAAGCTAGTTCCTTTGAAAACATAATGGAATCAACTGGGGAGGGGAAAACATTTGTTTCCCTGGAGCACTCCAGGTGAGGCGCTGGCAGGCAAAGATTACAGGAAGGGAGGTTTCTGATTTGACTATTGCTTCAAGTGTAATTTCATTTTTTAGGCAAACTTTTCCAAAACAACTTGTTACTTTAAGTTTTATGAATTAAAAAAAATTTATTTAGGAGCCCTACCCAGGGAAATCTCAGAAATAATGCCTAGCTGGTGTGGCTCAGTGGTTGTGCCTCGACCTATGAACCAGAGGTCGCAGTTCAATTCCAGGTCAGGGTACATTGGTATTGTACCCTGACCTGGAACAATAGGAGGTCAGTAGGAGGTCCCCAGTAGGAGGAGGCAGCTGATCTGTGATCCTCTTTCATCATTGATGTTTCTGTCTCTCTCTCTCTCTCCCTCTCCCTTCCTCTTTGAAATATATATATAAAATAAAGAGGTAATATGCAAATTGACCATCACGCTGTCACAAGACGGTGGCACCCACAGCAGGGGTGGAGCCGGCTGTTCCGTGCACCTGCCGCCGGAGTCCCCTCAGCCTTGCCGGGGGCCTCGGGTCCTCCAGCACCCCTCACTGACTGACAGCTCACCCAGGCTCCTCCAACGAGCTTCCCATCCTTCTCTTCCTCCCTCCCCCGAAGCTGAAGCCTGACTGTGGTGCCCAACAAATTGGAAGTTATAACTCATGTCATTGAGAGTAACCTCCATTCCTCAGCTGGGGCCAGCCACTCTGCATGCCTGCCACCGGAGTCCCCTCAGCCCCACCAGGGACCTCGGGTCTTCCTGCATCCCCCACTGACTGAGGCACAGGCAAGCTTCAGATGGTGGCTGCCCAGCTGCCCAGGGCCGGCCCAAGGCTCAGGTGTGATGGGGATGTCGCCTTCCCCTGATTGCCAGGTCGCCTCCCACCCCTGAGGGCTCCCAGACTGTGAGAGGGGGCAGGCCGGGCTGAGGGACAACCCCCCCTCCCCACTCCAGTGTCTGAATTTTTATGCACCGGGGCCTTTAGTATATATGTAAAACAATAAATATATTTATACATATAAAGCTTCAACTGAGGCAATATTTCCTGGTGAAAAATAAGAGGTCCAAGAAACTCCATGAACTGAAGAAAGGGCCTGAAATTAAAATTAATAACATAAAATTATATGAAGAGCCACCAGGCAGAGGTGCCAAAAGAAACTTTCCTGATACCTATGTGACTCCCCAGAAATCAGATTATGAGAAAGAGGAACTAAAGGAGTATAGTTAAAAGAGTTTTGTAAAGACAGACAATAGGGCAGATTTCCAGGATGATCCCCTAACAGGGCATATTCAAACAAGTTTACACACTCCATTTGATGATCTTTCTACATTTGCCCACAAGTACTAAGAGTCACCTTCTGCCTGTCCATTTGCTCTTCCTGCTGTTTAAGCAATATATGGAAAGAATTGCTAAATTTGGAACTTTAGTATACAACAAAAGAAATTAATTAAGAAAGAAAAGAAGAGTTATATAAAGTAAATTATAGATATATGCATCCAAATATTTTTCACCTTTGTACTGTCAGTCAACCTCCCTACCTTCACCTGCCCTCCACACCTACTGGGGATGAGAATCACTTTAGCTAAACTCAATGTCAGTCCTGTTTCCTCATTATTTTTACCTGTCCTTACTCAAATGATTCCCCTCTTGGATTCCAAACTGGTCCTTACCATTAGATTATGCGAACCCAAGACCAAATACTCCCACAACTTACTGTCTGCATGGTCATGACTTTATTTTTTGGTTGCCTTGGTTAACGTGACTTTACTATTCCACTGTCTTCATCAGCACAACTTTACTATTCCAGGAAGCTCTGGCCCAGGACATAGAGGCTTACCATTTATTCTGAATACTTTTCAAAACCCTAACCTCCAAACCCTGACCAGGCTGTGTCCACCAATCCTAAACTATCTATATATATAAAAGCCTAAGCAACCGCTATGACTGGATGACCAGACAACCAGAGGACAAGCCAGTAGCTATGATGCACACTGGCCACCAGGAGGCAGATGCTCAATGCAGGAGCTGGCCCCTGGTTGTCAGTGCACTCTCAACCTCCCACAGTCCCTCCCCACAACCTGGCCAGCCCTGATCAGGACTGGGCAAGACGGCCCCAATCAGCCCCAATCATTGGCCAGGCCAAGGGACCCCACCCATGCACCAATTTGTGCACTGGGCTGCCAGAGACCAATTCCAACATGACAGCAGGGCTGCATCTGGGAATGGCTGAAGGCATTTCCCCAAACCTGAATAGGATACATTAAATTGATTTCTTGGCTGCCAGACAGCTAAAGGGCATCTTAATCTACATGTTATTGCCTCCTACTGGCCAAACACCTGAACAGCCATAGGCTAATTCCCCCATTCTGACAATGGACTCTGTACGAAACCCTGACCCTTTGAAGTGTATATCTCTGCCTCGCCTCAGGACAAGTTGTGTTAATAAAAAGCATGGGGTCTTGAGACGAGGAGACCTGAGACCTTAGACCTAAGACCTTAGACCTTAGAACTTAGCTCCTTTAGCTAAGCACCTCTGACCCCCAAATGCCTTTCAAAATTATGCTTCGTCTCTGGACTCCTATTAATCTACGCACAGCCTTCTCCAGACTCCTGAACCCTTCTTGATGCTGGGACAAGAACCC